ATATGACCATTTAACTTATGACCATTTAACATATGACCATTTAACTTATATGGTCATAAGTTTTTAGCGTTTATTTTATTTTTCATGACTCATCTCATATGGAGGTAGAAGAGTTGGCAGCAAGTAATGACAACCCACTGGTGTCCACAACTTTAGCCAAGAGAACTATCGCATCGCCAAACAATACACGTTTTTAGTTCGAGATGCTACATAACATACAGGTTGTGGTTTTTTTTATAAAAATTAATTCTGCAAGTAAAAAAAATCATAACAAAGGGGGATCCTATATCTATATACATGAATAAACATTTTATTATGTATTATTTTACATATGTTTAAATACACACACACAAACACATACACACACAACGACACACACACAAAGACATACACACACATTTATAATATAAACTTTAACTATAAACGACCAATGAATGAATGAATGAATGAATGAATGGCTGAATGAATGAATGAACGAATGAACGAACGGGAAAATTTATAAATATCACACGGTTCTAACTAGCTGCCTTCTGGCATTTGATGGAAGTTTAAACAAATAAAAAAATAAAATTTTTCAAAACTGAAGTTTTAAATATATTGGAGGAAATGTAGGTAGTGTAATAGCGTTTGTTAAAACGTCAGCTGACATTAAGAAATCACCAGGAATGTCTCTGAAGAGTAAATATTTCAATTAAAAATTTATCATTTATAAACCCAACGTTTCAGTTACTACTCTACATGGCAATATTATTTATTGGTGTTGACAAATTGATCTAGCTCAGTTCATCTACCCAAAACATTCACACAAATCTGAAACGCTCTAAATATATTAGGTTTAAAATTTGAAGAATTGATTTAGAGGAATAATTGAAAAAATTGAGCTAATAAAAATCGCTGGATTTTAAAAATTTAAAAAACTGTCAGATCATAATGATACAAATTCTTTCATTGTGATTTGATAATAATAATTAATAATTGGCAAGACAAATGCTCCGAAATCGTCAAATTTACCATCATTTCAATTTTTTTTAAAGTTTAAGCCAGAAAAAACCCTATTCATCCAAAAAGAGTTCTTGGTAAAGTTGAGGTTTAGGCAGATCTTTGTACCTATCATCTAAGACGAACTTGCCAAGAGTAGAACGGTGTTTCAGAGTCATTTGGGTAAAAAGTTCGAGACAGGTGAGTATGTAGATATGTCTGTTCGTTTGGGGACCACATTTCCCTGGATGAAGGGGGAAGGATTTATGGTGGGGTGTTTATTAGTTTTTAAGAATGAATGGCGCAATGGTTAAAGTGTCTGGCTCTAGTGAAGCAGTGGTCGGTTTCGAATACAAAAGAAATCAACCTTAACCACGTGTAATGCTTCAAGAAATGTAGGGAAGAAAATAAAAGTGTTTGTGACTGTCTGTGTGTGTATGTACGTGAGTGTCTGTGCGCGTGCGTGCGTGCGTGTGCGCGTACGTTTGAGTACGTAATCTGAAAATTTATATAAACGTTTATAATAATGTTAATGTGCGTAGAGGTACTGGCTGATAAATATGTAAAGAATCAATTAAAAATTTAAAATCCTAATTGAGAGAAAGTTATAAAAAAGAGAGAAAAAAAGCAAGAAAAAAGAGAGAGAGAGAGAAAGAAAGAGAGAACAGACGGCAAAAAATTGACACAAAGAGAATCTGAAGCGGCTACTAACTCTTGACGTAATGTTCTAAGCCTCTTACCAACATGTCTTTCAACTCCAGTTCATTTCCTGAAGTTTAACAATGAAATGATGAAATTGATAATGAATGAGACTGGCGACTGAACGCTTATGATGAAGTAGTGTTCATAGGGTGAAATTATTACTTCAATACCATATATAATAGGACAGAAGAAAGACTCATTAATTCTGAAAAAAGTTAATTAATTCATATTTTGATAAATTTTATTTCATCGGGCCATGACAAACCTATAGCAAATATGTTGATTGCACATACGAATGTGATTTCAATAGGGTCCAGGGAGAATTTCAAGATGAATTCACCCATTTGCTGAAACATTGGGACCAAGTCCTCGAAGACCGGGAAGTTCTTGAAGATTACCTAAGTGAATAATACAAGACATTGCTGTGAAAATTGATTTGTTGTTCAGTCTGCAAATGTTTAACCTCGTTAGTCAATTAATCAATCAATCGATCAATCAACCAATCAATCGTCTCGCCATCAGTCTACAAACCTGTCGTTCAGAGTCGGTATAATAAAAGTAGTTAACTCGGTTGGTCGATGGATTGAAGTTGATTGAGCAGATGAAAGTGATCATAGAGAACATGCATTGTTTCAGTATTTGTATCTGACGATCTAGAGAAAAATTCTTGAAACCTAAGTGGTTGATTGGTTGATCGATAAATTGATTGATTGATCGATAAATTGATTGATTGATCGATAAATTGATTGATTGATTGAAAGACTGATTGATCAGTTGGTTGATTACTATGTTATTTAATTGGTTGGCTGCTGATAGAATTTTTTAATTTTCTTTAATCTCTTACAATATAATTCAACGCAAAACAGATAAACCTAGGGCAATCAATTCATAACTCCTCCTCCCTAAACAACACTAACCAATCAACTTCTTGGCAAATTTTATTAGAATTCTCGATGACCTATCAGATGCTCGGATTTGAATGTTCCAGACGTCCAAGAGGCTCATGTCATTTCGAATCGTTGGCACGCCCTCCTATCAAAGATATTACAACACAAATGTAATTATGTAACTCCGCAAATAAAAGCCCACGCATATACAAATACAAACATGCAAACACGCACACACAAACAAACAAACCCACACAAACATACACACCCTATTAAATAATGGTTGTATGAACTTGTACAACTCAAACATGTTGTCTATCACCAGATCATTAGTAATTAAATTTTTATTCATAAGTTTCAGACTCAATTCTGATTGGCTGCTGAGAGAAGGTGGTAGGTGTGGCTTGTAAATTTGTAAACAAGTCGAAGCGTTGTCAGAAAATTTTTTAGGGTTTAATTGTTTGTTTTTGTTGATATTTTTTTTTAAATTATTCGATTTATAAATGCCAACACTATTACTTTCATTATCTTTTGCAGTATTAATAACGTCACTATTGTTGCTAGACTTTTTATTTGCCCTAGGTGAGTGCAGAAGAGATTCTATTGGCTGAAGACAAGTTCCGCCTACTTGCGGGGTCATCCAATCAAAATTGACATTTGTCATTTGTGCCTCATTAACATTTTCTAGCTTAGACTCGCTTTTAATCTGGTGTGGTTGAAAAATGATTTGTTGTTGGTGATGGTGTTGTCTGTGTTGGTGTTCATAGTATCGTTGTAATTGTTGGCGTGGTTGTTGCAGCAGCTGTAGTTGGTGTGGTTGCTGGCGTTGAAGTGGCTGAGGTAGTTGATACTGTAGCTGGCCACTCTCAAAATAATGATGATGGTGATAATGTTGTGGTGGTTGTTGGATGCCGTATGAACTTGGAAGAGGAAGAAAATTATGATGGTGATAGAAATGATGATATTCAATATTCTGCTGCCAGTGTGGCTGGTGCAGTTGTTGCTGCTGCTGCTGCTGCACTTGCTCGTAACCACCAAGATGATGACGTTCCTGACTGAACGGCAATGATGATGACGATAGCGACGACGACGACGACGTGGAAGTTGATGTAGTCGAGGAGAATGGAAATATACCGGTGGTGTTGACATTTGAAGATGACGTCACGATGTCTGGTAGGAATGAGAAGAACGATGTAGCTCAGATG